TCCACCTTTTCTTCCATAACTAGTCCCATGGCATGGAGAGTCCCAGCTCTGTGCTCCTCTCCAAGGAGGCCGCTTTATGACTCAACGTTGTCTCTGGGACCCAAGGTCATGATGGTGAAAGTGATATATGGTCATTTTGATTATCCACCACCAGGGCTGGGTGTCTCAGACAGTCTATGAACTTTGTAACCAGGAGATGAGGTCCACAGGACTGCCATTTAGAATTTTTGAAATGACTTGAAATGACACTAATTACAGCAAACATTGTGTATTAGTTTTCCAGGGCTGCTATAACAAAATATCACAGACTGGATCAATTAAATAACAGAAAATTACTTTTGCACAGTTCTGGACGTAGAAGTCCATGATCAAGGTGGACCAGCAGGGCTGGTTTCTCCTAAGGCCCCTCTCATTGGCTTGCAGATGACTGCCTTCTTGTTATGTGGTCTTTCCTCTGAGGGTGTCCATGTCATTTCTTCTTATAAAGACATCAGTTGTATTGGATTAAGGGTCCACCCATATAACATCATTTACTTTAATTTCCTCTTTAAAGGCCCTATTTCCAAATATAGTGACACTCAGAGGTACTAGGGGTTAGGACTTCAACATACAAATTTTGAGGGAACATAATTCAGCCCGTTGCATATTTCATACAGAATATTCAACTTGAAAAACTCAGCAATGTAATTTACATTATAGACTGGCCTAATTATTTAATTTGAGTGACTAACCATTTATCATGATTAACCAAGTTCTCTCAAGAAACCTGAAGTGCAGCGTGCCTGGGTGTCTCAGTCTGTTAAGAGTCTGACTCTTATTTTCAGCTCAGGTCATGATCTCATGATTTGTGGGCTTGAGCTCTGTGTCAGGCTCTGCTAGGAAATCTCTCCTCTCTCTCTCTGCCACTCTTCGCTTATACTCTCTCTCTCTCAAAATAAATACATAAGCAAAGGAAGAAGGAAGGAAGGAAGGAAGGAAGGAAGGAAGGAAGGAAGGAAGGAAGGAAGGAAAGAGAGAGAGAGACAGTTATTTTGTCAGTGAAATGGGTTTATTTTGGAATAGCGGAGAATTGCAATTCAGGACAAGGACACTGGCAAAATCATAGGCATCTGAAGTACAAAGCAGAGGAATATCCTTATATGGAGGAAAGGTGGGGTGGGTGCTGGGAAGGGCTTTATAAACAAAACGTCCATTGGAGTAAACTAAGAGTTAAAAGTATAGTGGCTTTTCATTAGCTGAGTTGGGGTTGTCTCTCACTGGCTGGGCTATTGCCAGGGGAAGGAGAACATCTTCCTTCCTCCTGCTGCTGGTAGTAAAGCACCCTCTTCTTCCTGTTGGGACTAGAAGGTAGATTTCTTCCTGTTGGGTATGCAGCGTGCAATGGGCTTCAAGAAGTGGTAGGCATGAAGGGGCGCCTGGGGGGCTTAGTCAGTTAAGCGTCCGACTTTCCCTTAGGTCATGATCTCACAGTTCGTGGGTTCGAGCCCCGCGTTGGGCTCTATGCTGACTGCCAGCTCAGAGCCTGGAGCCTGTTTCAGAGTCTGTGACTCTCTCTCTCTCTGACCCTCCCCTGCTCACGCTGTCTCTCTCTCTCTCCTAGAAATAAATAAAACATTAAAAAAAAAAAAAAAAAAGAAGCGGTAGGCATGAGAGGTTCCCTTTCTGGTCTCCAAACTCCAATTTAGTGAAGTTTCTCTTTATTAATTTCCAAACTATCAAATAGCCTGTGGACTAGAATAAAACTGTACAGGTGCTCACCAGGGCCACGCGTGAATAGAGTCCACAGAGGTCTGACAGACACCAAGATCCACCAGGTATTTGTGTATTTCACTTGAAACCTACTCTGGCATGTTCGGGACCCACATAGTGCTGATGGCTTACATTTTCACAGTCTGCAGTCGTCCATGATATGGACTCAGGGACTCATGTCCCTGCTCTGACTTTCTGGAGATTGGAAGAGTTATAAAAGAAAATACTGAAGAAAGTTCTGTGAGCGATGGCTTTGTGCTCCAGCCCTCTGAGGTCCTGCCTTGTCATGTTATATTAAATTCTGCTTGTCCAAAATCTGGGTCATCTCTCTCTCTTGTTCTTTTACTCTTTCTAAATTAATCTCTCCAACTCTTAAGTGTCTGGATCAACATCCTCCTGCAAGAATCTCAGGTTTGTCTCCTCTTTATGCTGAAGTTCTCTCTCTGGAGTAGCACATGAATCCCAAACCAGAATTCAGCTCAGCCTGAGGGGCCTCCCATTGCTTAGCTGATTTGTCTTTTTAAATTTCATGGCCCAAGATCACCAGTAAAGTGTGAGTTTGGTCAGGTGATGAAAATATGCTTTTCACAATGATTTAATGTCAGTGGCAGAGTCTGGGCTATTTCTCTCTCTTTCTAGTTGTGCGGCCACCACATCCTTACTCTTATTAGAAGTAGTACCAGGTAACTGGGTTCCTAATACTGTTCTGGATTTTGGCTCAAGTCACCATTTCTTGCTGGCATTAGGAAATAGTTCGCTTTTCCCTATCTCCCCAACTCTTCTAGAATTATTAGACATTTTCATTCTACCTAGGCCTTGGGTCTTCTTTTGGTGTCTTTTCAGCCTCTCAATGATTTCCCAGGCTTGCTATACGAGATTGTGCTCTGTTTCTTTTCTGTCCACATTCTTCCCTCTCATGTCCTTATTCCCCAGGTGCCCTACATCTAATCTGTCTTCTGTGCAGGTCAGGCAGCTCCGAGGTGACTTAATACCCAAGAACCTTCTGTGTGCACCATATTCCCACTGCTTGCTTTCTAATGACCCAGGGACTCCTCTGTTCCCCAGTGGGGCCTCCATCTATGTGCTCCCCAACCCCTCGCCATCAGCAATCACTACCTCCCCATACCTCTTGTATGGCCATCCTTACTGATGAGGACTCTCTCCAAATAAACCCAACTTTTAAAAACCTCATTGTCTTGTTACTATGCTCTTTTGAGTATTTTTATAACAAACTAAATTCTGAGTAAAGAATCTTGTCAGATTTGTCTCTCAGATGAGGTCGCCAGGCCAAACAGAGTCCTGACTGTAGGGCACCCTGCTTTAAAATCAAGATGTAGTGGGTGCCTGGGTGGCTCAGTAGGTTAAGCAACCGACTCTTGATTTTGGTTCAGGTCATGAGCTCACAGTTCTTGAGTTTGAGTCCTGCATCGGGCTCTGTGTTGACAGTGCAGAGCCTGCTTGGATTCTCTCTCCCTCCATCTCTCTCTGCCCCTCCCCAGCTCTCTAGTTCTCTATCTCTCAAAATAAGATAAAAAAGCAAGATGCAGTGTTGACTTTTTTCTTCCTTTCTCTGTGCTGGGCAGCTGTAATCATCACTCTCCTGCATGGGGCCATCCATGAACAGGGCACACCTAGGAATGTTTTACATTAAGTTAGCCCTGTAGGTAAATCTCACTATACTGTTATGGAGTATTACTGTCTCAATTTTGTGGTTGAAGAATCCAATGCTGAGATCACATGATGCTTTGCTTCTTGCTCTTCCTCCAAGAGAATTTGTCTATTTTGTACACTTTTCCTCAAATTCCAAAGCTGCTGGTTCCCATTCTGGAAAATAGTCCCTGTATTTATAGAGTCCATGTCAGGGAGGCTGAAACAGGGTGTATGTGAGGAAAAAGTGAGGTCTTTTATTGACCTCTTCCCTTTTTTGAGCATACCATCGTTACATAGATTTCTGCATTTTCTCTTCTCTCAGAAATGGCAAACTGTGTTCTATAAGCTTATGGGCCCATTTCTTACAGGATGTAGGGTAGGAGGATGGAAGGCAGAACAAGGTAATTGCTACAGGAAGACAATGGAGAAGGGCCAGTTGCCATGCGTGACAAAGTAAGAAGGTGTCACACACACACACACACACACACACGCACACGAGTGCTAGCACTCAATGAGAGGCGGTAGAATGAGAGCAAGTGGAGACAACTTCTCATACTCAAGGAAACATTCAGATGGAGCCCTGCCCTGGACTTTAGTGTGTGGCCTTCTCCCCAGGTATTTCTCCTATGCAGGGATGGAGGCAGCCGAGGGCCAGGATGCAGGAGTGTAGGGACAGGGAGCCTGCTTGCACAGGCCAGCCAACTGCCCAGTGACCATGGGGTCTGACCCCACAGTAGGACATCTTTTCATTTGGATGGTTTGTCTCATAAGCCATCCCCACTTCCGAAGTTGGACATATACCTGCTTCCACCAAACTGCTCCCCAGGGCCTGGCAAGGGTTTACTAATTCTTGGAACCCAAATCCACAGCCTCTTCCTTGGTCAGAGTTGGCTTACCACCTTGATAGGGAGGAAAGCAGATTTTCTGGGGAGAAAGTCAATTTTGCACTGACATCACCTAGCCCCACACACACATATTTTTAATGTGGGAAACAAATACTAAACCAATGTCATAGGTCTACATGATCTTAATATTTTGCTGAAAAGAATTTATGTGCTTTTACTGACCATAGTTAGTTGAATTCTAAAGAGGGTAGGAAGACAGGCACAGGCTGGTGAGGTCCAAAGGCTCCAGCTCATCTGCAGGGTGATCTCGCCTCTAGTACTGGGGATCTGACTTGTGCAGAGTGAAGCCCTATCTCAGTGCAGCCAAAAGTCAGGGATGGAGACTGTGGACCCACTGGATCCACTGGTGAGGAGTGCTCCAGTATGGAGCCCTGGCAGAGTTAGCAGTGGGGACCCCTGAAAAGCACTCTTCCTCTAGTGGCACTATCAGCAACTTAGTATATTCCAAACCCTGAGGATGCACCCTGTGTTGACCAATTAAACAGTCACAGAAGTAAGTGAGGAGGTAACAGGTGTACCAGACACAAGTGCCAAAGGGAGGAAAGATAAATGGTGCCATACTCCTGAGGCAGAACCTCATCCAGTTTCATGTTTGCACATCATGGATGCTATACCTTCTTGTTTTATCAGTAACTGCAGATCCCCAAGGTTTAAATGGAGAATAAGCTTAACGTAGCACAGAGGACACCAGATGGCTGACCTTAAGATTCTGTTTATTTCTCACCATTTCTTTACAACCATCCACGCAGGGATAACTCCCACATCTACCTCCCAAACTTGAATCTCCCTCTAGAAATTCAGATTCATATTTCTAATGCTCTAAATGCATCCAAAGATCCTATTAACTTCCGGACAACATCCCCTGTCCCCGAATCATCTTTCCTTTCCCTGCTCACTCTGGGCAGGTGTCTCAAACTATGGCTTCTGTGTTCCTTCAAGTTACACTTATGCCTGGGCTTCAGTGTCCAAGTGCCCAGAATGAGGCCTATGGTAGGTGTATCCAGCTAGACAGGCATATAACAGGGGCACAGAATGGGCTCTGGGTCATAGAATGTCCTATCACCACAGTGAGGACAGGGGTTGGCGCTGAACCAGACCATGCTGGGCCGCCCCAACTCCTGCAGCATCTGCTTCAGCCTGGCATGCAGATGGGCAAGCCTGCCCAGGTGGAGGGTGCCACGGATGTCCTCATAACTCTCCAGGGGGGCAGGGTACAGCACATGACTCAGCTTGGTCAGCCCAATGGTGTGGCGAAGCAGGTCCTCCAGGACAGCCATGGAGATGGGATTTCCACAGAAACTGAAAGTCATGAGCTGCGAGCAGTGGCTCAGGGAAGGCAAGATGGCACTGAACTGAGAGTCCATGATCCCACACTCATCTAAGTCCAGGTCCTGGAGGGTGGCAGAGGCTCTCTCTATCAGAACTTGGAGGGGCCCAGCGCTCATATCGGTCAGGGTGACCCCACTGAGACCCAGGTCCTTCAGTTGACTGACATTCAGGTGCTGGGACAGATGTGTCAAGTCTGATTCCGAAAGCAGGCAGTTAGTTATTGACAGGGTCTCCAAGGGGGTCTTCAGGCAGCTGGGGAGAGACAGAGCAGTTAGTCCTAGAGGATGGAGGTGGCAGACAGACGGACGTGGGGATTACCCAAGCCTCGAGAGAAGAGGCCCACTCCACCAAAATCCAATGTGTTACACGATGGTCAAGCCCCAGATGCCGAGTGGTGAAAAAAGTCAATCCACAGTTCAGTGGAGTCCTTTCTCCATCACTTATGTGCTGGGTGACTTGTTTAAGTGAATGAAACCTCAAACATCCCCTTTGCTGTCAAGTGGAGCACAGCATACCCTTCAGAGGTGCTGTGAACCTGGATCAATGTAACAATGAGAGGCACTCAAAACGGGAGCCTGGCCCAATGTCTCAAATAAGGAAGGGAACCACTGAAGCCTAGTACTGGGCCACAGAACTAGAAGTGTTTTCAACTCAGGCTTCCTTCTGGCCGCTGCTCGGACCCCAGTCACTGGTACCCATTTCTGTGAGGCGAATGCGGGATGTGTGTAAAAGGCTAACCTGGGCAAGGTCTAGCAGTGTGCAGCCTGGGGGGTATAACTTGGCACAGTTCCTCCTTCCTGCTCCCTCACACTCAGGCCCCAAATCAGGCAGCTCCTCTATACTGCCTTACATGGAACCCCAAGCAACCTTTTACTGACAGGAAATCAGAGGCAGGTTTGGAGGAAAGGCTTGCGTTGTTGAAGCTACGGAGTACAGAGCTTGTGATCTGAAACCTCACATCAGGATACGCTTTCCCTTCATCAATTCCCTCAAGTTTAGTGATTTTTTAAAATTTATTTTTGACCATCATAACTTAGCCATCATTTTCTCAGAAAGAATTCTCAAAGCCACACACACCTGCCCCAAAGCCTCCCATATATAGAGATTCCTAACAAGGAGTCCCTTCAAATAGTGTATATTCTAGTTCATACCTCCAATCTTTATCTGAGAAGTTTTGTGACATGTGTGGGGACATCATGACTGTGTGTGGACCCTTGTGACTCATGCAGTCTGGCACTGTCAAATGGTGGGCCCACGGCAGATGTCCCTTATTGTTTACTGGAATGAAAAAAGGGCTTATGCCTGTCTGCCAAGAAACCTCACCATCCCTCACCTGAGCACTTGGTCCAGGTGGTCTTCAAGGAAGGAGATAGAGTCCAAATAGAGCTCCTCAAGGTAGTGCAGCCTGAGGAACTGAGAGGTGAATTGGCTGACACACTGTTCCTCCTTCGTCGGGGTGGTGTGGGAAGACATGTGGATGTGGGAGAGGAGGAGCCGGCGCAGGTTGCCCATCTGACCCAGGTGAGGTGCAAACTTCCCCAGGGTGGACAATTTCCAGGTACAATTCACTTCTAAATCCTGGATAGAGTCCAGCTGCACCATCTTCAGGATCTTCTTAATGTTCTGCATCGGCATTTCGAAAATCTTCAGCTTCTTACAGCACAGGTGTAGCAGACCTTTCCCCTGCTTGACTTTCTGGATGAGGTAGGCGAGAGACTCATCAGGGGTGCCTTCCTTGAGGCAAAGATCTATGAGCACCTCCACAGGAGCCAAGGTCTGCTTGGGCCCTGGCCTGCAACTATCCATTTTTTGCCTCTTCTTCATGGGCTGGGCCACCTCTGGCTCCAACAGGGAGTATATACTGGCCCTGGTCCCAGACCACACGGTCCAGAAGTCCTGATGAGCATTCTTCCGTAAATCCAGCACCTGCAGTTTCCACCTCCTGCAGGGAAGATAGGAGACAGACTAAGAAGCTTTCAGATCAACAGGGAATAAGACCATGAGTCTCAGAATCTAGGCAAGGCCCAGACACCTAACCTGCACTTATACTCCATACCCTGTATGTCAGTGGCTCCTTGTGCCACTGCGATCCTTCCTGGTCCCCACCTGTAGTACCTTTAAGTGCCACCAGGAAGGGTTGGGCATGTTTCTTTGGTCACCTCTGCATCTCAATCAAGCTTTACAAGTCCAATCTGTTCCTTAAAGTGACCCCAGCGATGGCCCAAGACTGCTCTGAGATTCCTTACTGGCACCAGTGGAAGCCTCTGGCCCACCCTGTGGCCCTGTACTCTACCTTACCCCAAGCAAGAGCTGGGACCCTAAGGCCCTCTCAAGCTATGGGATCATCCTCACCTGGGGCGGGGCTCCTGGGCAAGCAGGACATCGAGTCCATCCAGTGCAGCTTGAAAGGTCTCCTGGTAAGGCTTCTGGTCCTTCATCAGGGCCCCCAGAGGAAGGCAGGCGAAGGGCCAGGCCTGCACCATCGCCTTCAGGGTCTCCCTGTACCTCCCAGTGAAGGCCGCTGTGAACAGTGGCGGGAAGAGCTCCATGGGCAGCACCTTCAGAGCAGCAATGGCCAAGGCCTGGTCCTTCAGCAGGCTCTGACCTGCCAGATCCACGAGTCTGGGTGGGGCCGGGAGGCTCATCCTGATGAATCTGCTCCGAAAAGAATCCTAGCCAAACATCCAGGGAACAAGGTTGAGAATGAGCAACCCCATTATCCTTCCATCCTTGAGAGGAATGAGTTCAAAGCCAAAATCACTATTCTGACAATAGTTGGGGAGTCCTCAGTTTACCCCAATTCCATTCTCTGCTAGGTGGCCACAAAGCCACAGCTCTGCCCTGCTGGAGCCAGAATGAGCATCTCACCACACCCTAATGGAGGAGCAAGATGACCACTGGCCCCAACCCATACCCAGCTACTGCTGCATTTAATTCTAGCCCCACTGCAAAGGTAGTATGGAGGACCCTGAAAGCTGACCTCATCCTTTTTAGGGAAAAGTTGCTGTTTATAACCTGAGAAATGAAAATAGAGAGGAATAAGGAATGTTATGTGGCCCAGGCATGACACCTTCCTCAGCTCTAACAATCAACCCAGATGGGAAAGATTAAAGAACATCCATCCAGTCAGTGCCATTATGTCATTTATAAATTTTCAACTGTAAAAGTGGCGTAACAATGTTCTATAGCATGTGGAAGTTGGAGATGAAAAATATATACAATATTCCCCAATTTTATTACATCTCTCCTACTTATTTGTATAATTGTATAATACAATTGTAAAATACAAATAAGTATTTTGTATTTTATACAATTATAATACAAATTGTATTATACAATTATACAAATGTATAATTTGTATATTGTGTATTTTGTATTGATAATTACCATTTTGTTTAGGGGAACACAGAGCTTACATTCAGAACAAAGCCTCCACTTTGAAAAATACTCAGTGGAATACTTTTCAAGCTTTTAGTTTATTTTTCTAAAAATAAAAAAGCTTTAACTAGTATAATCACAAAACAGTAAATTTTATGAACTATAATTGCCAAATACAAACTAAATATTTAAAACACCATCAAAAAATTATCATCAAAAAACTAACTATATGTCTTTCATTAAAAAAATAAAACAAAGCTATTTGGTTAAGAAATATCGTAAATGTGTGTCAAATGGCATACAGACACCAAAGCAGAAATCAAAAGGTTTGAGATTAAGGCAAAACTGTGTTCAGAGGCAAAGCAAAGCCTCCTCATTCACATGGCATGGCTGAGGGCAGTATGATGGCAGTGTCCCAAGTCTGAGGCTGCTGCCTCACCAGAACGAGGTATGGTATAGGGGACTGTCCACTGAGACTTCAGGCAGGGACTCCATTGCTCCAGGCCTCTGGGTGTCTCTCCACTGGCTCTTCAGAAGCAATATTATAGGCCTTTCTGGCCTCACCTCCCTTTTCAGATCCTAGCTGAAATTTCAATTTCCAACTGAAAGCACAATCTTATCACTGGATCTCCATCTGGTTAATCCAGATTGGGGTTTTGACTTTCTCTATACAACTGACTGAATCATATGCCCCATTCATGAAAGAAAAAGAAAAGAAAACCAACCTGGAGGTACAGTTGGGGGAGTTTTGGCCACATCAGAATATCTCAAATGTTCAAGTTAAGACAGCTTTATGCAGACAGTGGTGTTATCCCAAAAGAAAAAGAAGTAAAATAAAATTCTAGAATATCACAGATTCACTTATACTTTATATTACCTTAAACTACAAACTTTGTGTCTATTCACAGAGAAAGTGGTACAACTGAAGCATTATTGGTCTTTCCAGATTTTGATGATCAAGACTTCCCTGAATGAGGTCAGGTCAAAATTACAACTAGGAGTTGGCCAATTTAAGGGAGGGGCTGGGTGTTTGGTATCGGCAACCAAAAGAGAGACAGGACTAGTCCAATGCTGACAGCCACTGAGAGGTGAGAGCTGTGGGCTCTTCTTTCGGGTCTTAGAGGCAGGAAGAGAAATAAGTGTGACCTAAAATGCATGTATCCTTGTCATCAAGGAGCTGCCACCAGAGGACTTTCTCTTGAGGCTCAGGTATCCTCTTCCTGATCCTGACTTTCCAAAGGCCGATCAGGTCTAGGCATTTCACAGGGGCCTCAGCCCCAAATGTAATCTCCAAAGGCCCCTTCCCAGGTATATATTGGCAACTGCTGTTTCCTCAACCCTAGGAAAGGACTAATACAAATGCACCTTCAAAAAGCTCCTTCTGGCCCTGCCCCTACGCTTCTTAGTTACTCCCATTCTGCTGGGAGAGCACCGTTAGGAACAGGAAAACTATTCCCCTCTCTCCATATTAAGTTCCGTGCACAAATACCAACACCTTTTCCTCACGAAATTTGAAGCTACATTTGACATTGAAGGATCTGCCAAATTTATGGAGGGTTCCCACGCTGGGCTGGATCACGCATTGGTGGTTCTGACGTTTCAGAACACACACAGAGAGAACATCTCCCCACAGAGAATTCTCCAGGCTATTCTTTACCCCTTGTATTGTGATGTCCAAACAATTCTTATATACTACTGCCAAGGAGACTGAGATTCTCTGAAGGATGTTCTCCATTTTACTATCTTCATGGAGACTGCTTTCTCCAAATACCTACTATGGAGGCTTTGCATAAAATAAGGTTAAACTGGAATGTGCTCTATTAGCATTTTAGACCCCAGGCAATCACCTTTACCAAAGAGAGGCAAGAGACTGAGATTAGTAACAAAGATAATCATAAATGTCCTTGATTATTGAGCTGTCACTGGGCACAGAAATGGTGCTCTGCAACTTTTCACCAGTACCTCCAATAACTCTGCAGAAAATTTAAAGTTCACCATAATTTTATTTTTAGCCCCTGAATCCGGGACTCTACACAGGGAGTAACCTGGTGAGGGGTTTGGATGGATCTGCCCCACCAAGTAATCAGACAATCTCAATGTTAGAGAGACCTGGACCTGGACCTTAGGGAAAACAGGAAAACTGCAAAGTCCAAGTTTGGGAAGTGTCTATGGGATCCCAGTATCCAGGAGATCCAAGGGGGCAGGAGTGACCACTGTCTTCAGATCTAACAATGTTTAGTATGAGCCACTTTTCCCTTGTAAGGCAAGGGACATTCCTTTGTTCACCTCCACATAGAGCCTGTTGGACCAGGGGACACGCTGTGTTTCTTAAAGGGTGAAGACTTGTGTCTGAGACCATCTGGAGGTACTGTGGGCCTGGGTAAGGTGCCACTGGCTGTGTGTGTGAGCACATGCCTGCACGTTGCTCTAGACAAAGGACACAGAATCAGACCAATGGAGAGTCTGGGGAGAGAGAAAGTGGCAAGCACGAATCCTGCATTCAAAGGTGACAGATTTAGAGGGAAGGTGAGGGCCCCAACCTCGGCATTCGGCCCTGGAGAGGGATGCTCCTTGGGATTTTGCTCTTCAGCCTCCTTACCTATCACAGCTCATTAGACTGAGAACTGTGCTTTAATTGGTTGGGGGTGGGGAAGGGAAGACAGAGAGAAATCGAGATAGAGAGAATGAGGTCTGGTACTGTGTCCCTATCATCAAACCGATCCTCAAATCTTTATTTATTTTTTAACGTTTATTTATTTTTGAGGAGGGGGGGAGGGAGGAAGGGAGGAGGGGAGGGGCAAAGAGACAGAGACACAGAATCCAAAGGAGGCTCCAGGCTCTGAGCTGTCAGCATAGAGCCCAGTGCAGGGCTCGAACTCACAAGCTGTGAGATCATGACCTGAGCTAAAGTTGGATGCCTAAGGAACTAAGCCACCCAGGAGCCTATGACCCTCAAATCTTTAACTCTAAGCCATAAGAGGGTCACGGTGGCTCACAATAAAGCAGCCAGATGCATCAGACTATCAGGTACTTTCCACTGGGATTTGTTCCACTGGACAGAGAGCAATGATCCTCAGGATTTTAAAGACCCTGACCTCACACTTGGTGGGAGAAATCCCCAATGCCCTAAGCTGAGGGCTAACAGGAGGCACTGGAGCGTGGGTGGGCATGTTCACAGCGATGTCTCCAGACCAGCTGGCCACTTCCCCCATATCCAGACACATCTTCTCTTCTCAATCCCTGATTTACTCAAAAACACTTACTGAGTGCCATGGACCTTACATTTTATTGAGTAAGCAAACGAAAAAGAAGTGAGCTGAAAAATAAATTAATCACAGGTTGACTTTGCCTTGTGTGGTAGGGCAAGGCCACAAAAGTAACCATGCAAGATGAAACTATACAAAGCCAACTTAACAATTCACAGGAAAATTATGGCTTTTCTGTGGCAATTCAAAAATTATTTTTTGCTAAACCATTAAGAATTCCCTTCTTATCCATTATAAGCATGTTGAGAAATGAATAAAATAGTAAAACTACTATTTATTTAGTACACTGATTTTAAATACTAAAAATTAAACCACTTCTCTGTAAAAAAAAATGTATCAAAAGTGGTTTTAACATTGCTTATGGTTCTTCTCATGTAACTTTTGGTACAAAGTGAGCATCTTTTCTGTGCCCTGGCAAACTATCATGCTGCTTTCTCAGTTTGAACAGGCTTCCAATATCCTATCCTTCATGTTTCCAATGCCATAATGTATTTTTGAGAGAATTCCTTTAGTGTGAAGATTTTTGCCAGAATCAGTTCCCCTGGGACATCTTCAACCCATTGTTATAGCCATAATCTCCCTTTATACTTCTCTGGGAGGTAAAGAATGTGAGCTGAGGCTGGATTCTCAATCACAATGAGGAATAAAAAGAATTCCTTGTGTTTGGTAGAACTTAAGTTACCAAAGCAGTTCAATTTTTAGTCTCTAGTTTCTCTCTTAAGACATAAAATGTTGGGATATTTGGGTGGCTTAGTGGGTTAAGCATCTCTTGCTTACAGCTCAGGACATGGTCTCATGATCAAGAGATCAAGCCTTGGGTGGGGCTCCACGCAGAACGTGGAGAAGTCACCTGAGAATGGGAACATTCCACTCCCTGGGTCAGCAGATCTGTACTCAGCTGAGTCTGCGGGTCCTGTCAGGTATCCAGAAGGATGGGCTGGGAAGGGGTGAAATATTCCCAGGAAGAAATCTGGAAAGACCTGAGCTCATTGTCTTGAGGCACTTCAGCTCAGCAGCTCTCTCTGTGGTGAGCCAGGCTCAGAACAACTCTTGCAATAACCCATCTCCCCACTCTGCATACTCCTGGCAGGAGCAAGTAAGAGAATTCACTGATGAGATGTCACCCACAGGATCTGATGAATAGACTCACATGCAGGTCCCTTCCACATGTGAGGCAGGGGATAAGAAGGGGGGGCCCAGTGCAGTGCTAGTGCCACAGGAGGTAGAGCTCTGGGACATCACCATGGCCTAGCTTCTGCTCTGGTCATCCTCTTGGCTCTCTGCACAGGTGAGGGACACTAAGGAGGGGACTTCTGGTAGCCTAGGGCTGACCCTTCTCTCCCTCTGCCCCAAACTCCTCTGGAATCAGGCTTTGACCTTGACCTCTACTCTTTGCATGTCCTCCTCCTCTTAGGGTCCTGGTTCTACTGTGTTCTGACACAGACACTTAGTATCTGTGGCTCTGGGGCAGAAGGTCATCATTTCCTGCTCTGGAGGCAGCAGTAACTCTGGGGCTTATAAGCTAGGTGTCCTGGTATCAAAAATGTCCATGCGCTGCTTGACACTCACAATGCACGAGGTTGTCCTGAGGCCTCCATCCCTTCACCAGTTTCAAGTCAGGCTATATGGCCTCCCTGACCTTGGGATTTAGCTGGAGGATTAGCTGGGTACTATTATTGTTCTCTTTCAAGAAGTATCCCTTTAACCCCAGTGGCCCAAGCCCACAGGGAAGCGAGACCAAAACTTCCCTGACCTCACTCATTCTGTTCCTGCTTGACACCAAACAGGAGTCAAGTCTCTGGGGGTTGAAGCCAGCCCTGCTCCTGCACCCCAACCAGAGGTTCTGAACATTAGTGTGTTTTGGGAATGGAGTCTCCAGCACAAGACAGATGCTCCACTGGGGAAATGACTGGAAAAAAATAAAGGATGCTTCTGCCTCTTCCTCCCCTCTTGAGCAGCCTCAGGATGCAGACTCTATCCAGCTCCTCCATGACAAGAACAGAGGAACAACAGACACCCTAGACGGTTCAGGGTACGGGCTTACCTGAAGGTGTCTTCTGTCCACTGTGGTCCAGCTCAGACTGGCCTCAAGGTCCTCCAATACTTGTTTTCCCTGGTCTCCTAACGTCTCAGTCACCTATATTTACCCAAGTCTGAGAGCAAAAACCAAAATGCTCAAGAAACAAAGAGGCTGTGTGTTAACACGTGTATTTAGCAAGCCACAGGCTACTGTGAAAATCTCTGCGAACACCGCTGAGGAAACTGAAAACTGTTGAGACCCAACCCTGTACATTTGTGAGGGGATCCCCTCTAATCTCCAAATTTGACCACCAATTTCTCATGAGCTGAACCAGAGAACAATGGGGGTGACAGACCTTGTGCTCAGTCAAAAGCAACCCTTCTCACGAAGACACGGACATTTCTGCCCCTTCTTCTGCCCCCTTATACCCTGGCACCTTCAGAGGGGCTAGATTCTTAGAAAAGCCACTCCACTTGAAGTG